ATGTTGTGGGGTTGTTAACCAATGTCATAAAACAATATGTGTACTACTGTTTCCTGAGAAACTATCTGTTCTGTAAACCTTCTCCTGAAGTACAATAAAAAATTAATTAATTAATTAATTTTAAAAACCCACAAAACTTCAGTTTCTTCATCTTTGGCCTTAGTGGTTGGTACGTAAATCTGTATAATAGTCAGACTAACTGGTCTTCCTTGCAGGCATACCGATATTATCTTATCACTGATAGTGTTGTATTTCAGGACAGATCTTGAAACGTTCTTTTTGACAAGGAATGTGGTACTGTTCCTTTTCAGTTTTGTCATTCCTGGCATAGTAGACCATATGATTGTCCGATTCAAAATGGCCAATAATAGTCCATTTCGGTCACTAGTTCACTAATGCCTACGATATTGATATTTAAGCGTTCCAATTCATTTTTGGTAACATCCAATTTTCCTAGATTCATACTTTGTACATCCCATCCCATGTTCCGATTATCAATGGATGTTTGCAGCTGTTTCTTCTCATTTGCTGCCACATCACGAAAGCTTGACTCCATCCATGTCATTAAGGTTGACTCTACTTTGAGGAGGTAGCTCTTCCCCAGTTGTATTTTGAGTGTCTTCCAATGTGAGGGGCTCATCTTCCGGCACTATATCACTGTTATTCATTTTCACTGGCCGATTTTTTAGAAGTAGATTGCCAGATCCTTCTTCCTAGTCTGTCTTAGTCTGGAAGCTCCACTGAAACCTCTCTACTGTGGGTGACCCTGCTGGCATTTGAAATGCCAGTGGCATAGCTTCCAGCATCACAACACACAAGCCACCACCGTATGGCACACTGACAGATGAGTGGTGTATAGTGGTAGTATAGTTCGGTTGTTTAGAGATTGAGCTCTAAAACCACACTGCTAGGGTTGAATCCTGGTTTTGTCATTCACTAGCACTGCCCTGGTGGCGCACTGGTTAAGAGCTCAGCTGCTAACCAAAAGGTCGGCAGTTTGAATCCACCAACTGCTCCTTGGAAATCCTATGGGGCAGTTCTACTGTCCTATAGGGTCGCTATGAGTTGGAATCGACTTGATGGCAACGGGTTTTCTGGTTAGCACTGTTCCTGGCAAGTTACTATAGGCTCTCTGTGCTCAGTTTCCTTGTACATAAAAGGAGATGATAATAAAAACTAAGATAATGCCAGCTGTTTGTAAATCACTTTTGAACTGTCTGATTCTTTAACTGTTACATATAATATCAGCAAATACTTTATCATTTAATTCTAACTAAGAAGTTAATACAAGAAATCCTAGTGGCACAACAATTAAGCACTCAGCTGCTAACCAAAAGGTTGATGGTTCAAGCCCACTCAGCTGCTCTGTGAGAGAAAAGAGCTGGCAATCTGCTCTCGTAAATATGACAGCCTAGAAAACCCTGTGAGGGCATTTTTACACTGTCACATTGGGTTGCTATGAGTAGAAAATAGACTTGGCAGTACCTAACAACAACAACAATAAGAGGTTGATATACACTGGATTAATTTGGGATGGGGTCAGTCAGAGAGTTTGGTTGAGGTTAATTTTTAAAAATTAATTAATTTAAAATAAAAAAAAATGTTTTAACAATTCAATTCACCTATATAATGAAAGATATGAGAAAGAACCCATTTGATTTCAATTCTAAATGGGGTGATGGTCAAAGAATCTGACAGAAAATGATGAGAACAAGAACCAGGAGTTCTGGATAGGGATAAAGTCTTATGAAAAGTTTCTGTTTACAAATAATGTATGCAATTTCTCCTTATTATTAAAATTAACACACAACCTGATTTTACACTTCATCCAGATTCACCAATGTTATAATGAAGACTGTTTTTGAAGGAGGTCGGGTTGCTATGAGTTGGAATTGACTTGATGATACTGCGTTTGGGTTTTTTTTTTTTTTTTTTTTGGTGAATAGAGCACTTACTAAGTGTTCTATTTTGCTAAGCATTTTCCATAATTATTTCATCTGTCTCAACATGTTCAGGTAAGTACTCTCACTGTTTCCATTTTATAAATGAAGAAACTGATGATTTGAAATATTATAACTTGCTCGATGTCACTTTTAAAATTAGCAAGTGGCAGACCTGGTAACTGAATCTAGATTCTGACTTTTAACCACTACACTGAATTCTAACCTTTTAACTACTAAACTATACTGCCTCCCTCTGACATGGTAGGAAAACTCCCTCATAGTATTTTTTTCCTTTTGTGTTTTTCTCTATTGTGCTTTTGAGGTTTAATCAGAATCCAAGTAAAACAAACAGTTCTTCACAAAATATATTAGCTGGCAGTGAATAGGGTAAAGACAGAAGAAAGCAGTTAGCTAAAGGTAAAATATTTGCTGATACCACCCAAACATATTTCAATTACAGTCAAAAATTCTTGTTCTGAAGGCTAAAAATAAGTCAGTCAGAGACACTTTAGTACCGCCCACCAAAAAAACAAACCTATATCCTTGGCCTGTGGTATCCACACATAACAAGACATGCATTCATTTGAACTGAATAACCATGTGCTAGGCTCTCATTTCATGTATCACTAAATCTTTGTTTCAAATGATAGAATTCAGAAGAGTATGAACTTTCTGAACTAGTGCTTATACCTAGATTCTCCATCATCATAGTGTTGAGAATTCTAGCAGCCTGGAAGCATTTTTTTTAAATCTCTAAGTATACAGAATAATGGTAAACCATATCAAAGTTCTTAGAACCTAGTGGAGTCATTTTTTACAGCGGTTGTCTCAGTTTTGCTCTGTGGAATCCTATATATTCTGAAGTTAGAAACTCTGGACTTGAGTTGCTTTGATTGGTAGAAGAACCTCAATCACTCATGGAAAAAGAAAGGGAAAAACTTGAAGGAACATTGCTATTCTTTCCTATTCCATGAAAAGTACCAGAATTATATGTTCTTTTTTTTTTTTTTCCCCATTTGAGGTATAGTTCACTTTTAAGAGACAAAAAGGACAAACAATGAAGAAATTAAACTGATATCCCAAAGTGTTACTTTATTCCAAAGATAAACAGTAGTATTTATATTACATATACTAGAAAATTTCAATATGATTGCTCAACTCTAAGGCAAATAATAATAGCATTGGTATCAATGGGGTTAATATGAATTCATTGTGTGACATTTTATAATGACAAGGGGAAAGCTGGAAATCCCCAGAGTTCAAAAGACCTTGCTAAAAAATTGAAGTTACCAATAATGAGTTACGCTAACAAAAAGATCCTTGAAAACTGGCCTGACTGAAACTCTGGGTTCTGGAACTCTTGCACAGATTCCCTAATTTACTACAGTGCAGTTGAAGTACTTTAAGAATTCATTAGCACTAAATGAGATTACTAGTAAGTGAAGACGGATGCCCATATCTGGGGTGTCTGAGACACAGCTGAGTTTCAACTAGGACTTACTCTGAACAATGAAGATACCAACATACAAACATTTTCATTTTCAGGAAGGAAAGAGATAATTCAACTAACAAGTGTTATCTCTCAGTAAGTATATCAGTAGTGGAGCTTGCATTCCAGAGCAATGCTATACAAATTAATTTATTCTGATCATGCTTATATTGCTGTCTGTTTGCATAGTAACACAGTAATTGATATAATAGGAACTGCAAACTAATCTATGTCCTGGTGACTGATGCTTGGAAAATAACCTTGCAGCAGGTTATTAGAAATTATGCATGCAACTGCGAAACTTTCTTTGTTTGGTGGATGAACATCTCATCTGATGTTTCATTTAAAAGAAACCAAAATCCAACCTCCCAAATGGCGAAAGCTGTCTGGGTAAATACACTGGAATACTTACCTAGAGCTGTAAAGTCTGAACCAGATTTGAACAGAGCTGATGCTAGGAGCTGAAACTGTAAAAGAAAAAAACAGAAGCAAATTAGCTCACTAAGCACACTGGAGAAAAAAAACTTCTGTAACTTTGACCATCTATTAGCCACTATATGTCTCTGCACATGTGTTGCACAGGTCTATTTGCCAAACAGTGGTAAGAAGAACAGCACATTTAGACTTGAGAAACTACTGACCCTTCTATTGGATTGCTATTATCATGTTATTATCCTGGAATTAATTTATTTAAAAAAAATAAAGTATGCATTTATTAAGAAACAACAGGTCACCTGAAAGAAAAATTACTCATTTGGGAATTGATCACGTATGCACAGTGCCCTGGGCACGGTTACGAAGTTTTTAGTATATATGCACTCTCACTTCAAAAATAAATACATGCCACTGTAAAACTCCTGATGTGTCTGCTGTGTAAATCAAACTCGGAGAAAAAGCACAGTTATTATGTATAGGCCATTCCTAAATGACAACTTAAAATTATAATTCCATACCCTGTATAATTATACCGTGAAAATTCAAAGGCCTTTTTTACATGGAAATAGTTATAAATGTTGATTAGAGTCCCAGGCTAGCCAGTTAAAGTTAGTTTAAAACAGATAATGTAAATGAACAATGACAAAACTATTAAAGCACTAGTAATTTAACAAATTGGTAAAAAGTAAAAATTTAGGACAATTCTTTTATTTATATGTATCTTGAATGCTGATGCTGGAAAAGGAAAGTTACAGGAAAAAAAAGGAATAAAAGAGGCGTGCACATGGCACCTCTCAGTGGGGTTACCTGGCACTCTCCAAGGCTTGAGGATACTACACTGACTCCTCATGATGTACTTCATATCTATGCTTACGGCTTTTATTTCAAGTATTAATCACTAACATTTGTAAGCCCTAATTAACGGTCCTCAGAAGGTCAGAAATTGAACAAATATTCTTTAAGTATCTATGATAAAGTTAGGGTAAAAAGAGATAAAAGGAATATTAAAAAATATATGCAAGTTCTTTATATATTTTGGGTATCATTCCTTGGTCAGATAAATTTACTGCAAATACTGCTTAGTGCGTGGCTTGCCTATTCTATTTTTTTGATAATGTCTTTAGATGAGTAAAAACTTTAATCTTGATGAAGTCCAGTTTGTCAATTTTTTTCTTATTAGGGCCTTTCGTGTCCTCTTCAAGAAATCTTTGTCTATCCAAGTGTTGTGAAGATATTTTCCTATGCTTTCTCCTTGAAGCTTTATTGTTCTGGGTTTTATACGTAGATCCATGATCCATCTTAATTTTTGTGTAGAGAGTGAGATAGGGGTTGAGATATCCAGTTATTCAGCTCCATTTGTTAGAAAGACTTTCCTTTCTCCCTTGGACTTAGCAATCTGGTTTAAAAGAAAATCAACTAACCACACATATATGGGTCTATTTCTGGACTCTTCTGTTCTATTGAACTATTTGTCCATCCTTAAACTAGTACTACAATGTCTTGATTACAGTGGCTTTATACAGTCTTGAAATCAGGTAGTGTTAAGACCTGCAACTTTGTTCTTTTTCAAGAATGCTTTAGTTAGTTTAGATTCTTTGCTTTCCATATAAATTTCAGAATCAGTTTGTCTATTTCCTAAAAAACAAACACACAAAAAACCACTTGCCGTACTATTCTACTGATAGGGACTGCACTAAAATCCAATTTGGGGAAAACAGGCATCTTAACAATTTTTACTCTTCCAATTCATAAACATAGTATCTCTCTCCATTTATTTAGGTCTTTTTAAAGTTTTTTAAATAGACTTATTATGACATGGAGCCTTGGTGGCACAGTGGTTAAGAGCTTGGACGCTAAACAAAAGGTTAAGCAGTTTGAATCCACCAGCCACTCCTTGGAAACCCTATGGGGCAGTTCTACTCTGTCCTATAGGGTCACTATGAGTCGGAATTGACTCGATGGCAACGAGTATGGGTTTTGGTTGGTATTATTACATATTTGGTATTTTTGCTGCTAATATAATCAGCATGTCTTTGATTTTCATTTTATAATTATTTATTGCTAGTATAAAAAATAATTTTTTCTACTGACTTTGTATCCTGCAACCTTGCTAAATTCACTTATTCTACTTTTTAGAGAGTACATAGGATTTTTTATGTACATAATCATGTCTCACCCCTTATACTTTTGATCTCCCTTTACCCTTTTTACCTCTTCATTTTTCCATAGTACTTAATCAAACTCTACTGTGCTATATAACTTGCTTATTTGTTTACTGTGTATTGTGTCCCCACCCCTCCCCGCACTAGGATGTAAGGACCTCCTGGGCATGGCTCTTTTTTGGTTCACTGATCTATCCATTCCATGTCTATAGAAGAATGCCTGGCGTATTGTAAGGACTCAGTACACATCTGTTAAATGAATGACACGAGTATTTCGGAAGCTCAGCAGTGCAATTAATACAAAATGTGCTATACTGGCTGAAAACTCTTTTCCTTGTTCCTTCTCCATTGTAGAATCCTCTCTGAAAATGGGAGAGTTGATTTAGGCATCCTTTTCCAGGGCCTTTTCTAGAAAAAAAAATCTATTTTAAGAGGCTTATTAGAAGTTTACCATCAACTTAGAACCCACATTCTGGAAACTGGAAAAGGGCAAAGAATCACTATTTGGTATACAGTTGGTAGTCAGCCATTATTTTCCTGATAACAGACACAAAGATGATGATCATGATGATAACCATCAAAACAGGAAAAAAAAAAAAAAACTAAAACCTACTTCATTCTAGAAATAAAAAACAAGCTAATCTAGGATATGAATAAACATTAAGGCCATTCTGAATAACTGGAATGATTTCCTATAATGAAGGTGAAGATCTATATGCTTCCTTGATAATTTTAAGACTGTAAGTGTATATACTGCTACCAGGGGATTTCTTTCCCCTAAAAGCAGATTATTGGAATACTGAAAGTCTAAAAATTTAATTAAGTCTGTCCCCATTTTTAAACAAAATAATAATTTTGCAGACCAGTAATTCTCAGTGTCTGGAGTGTTTTTGGTTTTTTGTTACATAAGAGCATACAGAGGAGAATGTTAGGGTGAGGATGTTGTTTTGAAAAAGTTTCTGAAGCGATTCTGATACTGACACAAACACAAAACACCATTTTTACTAACCTGTACTATGGAGAAACGACGATTGGTAGATTAAGCGTTTAAGAAACAGAATGGAAGTCTGTGGCATACACAATTGTTACTACGCAAGAAAGGAGAAAAATAGAAACCTGCTACCAAAATTTTAAAAAAGGCTCTGATTAAATTTGATACTCCTCTGTCCTGAGTTCTCCCATTATCCTAGCTTTAAGAACACACTGTCTGTTTTCTCTGGCCTACTTGCAGCTCACACAGCTGAAATGATTTACTTTGCAATATTCTGCTTTGGTTTGGTTTTAAAAAATGAGGAGAAAACTACTGTTCCAGGGTTATAGCCATTTTATACAGACTATGAAGAAAACACAAGGAAATCTTTATAACTCTCAAATCTGTGGTCTGACAAAATAAACATTACTGTATTCTTCACAACTATGTACCATTATAAGCTATAAGAGACTAAAATTTAATATTCTGATACTTGGCAAAACTATAATTTGCCCTGTTTTAAATAGTTAGTATCATGAATTGACTGAATGAAGACTAAGGAAAGATAACTAACTGCCCTCGTTAAGGGCATTCTAAAGCGCGTTCTGCAGATTCTCCACCTAATGAATGAAGGGTTGTAATCAATACTGAGTGAGAGAAATAGAACTTATTTGTTACAGTAGGCAACCATGAAAGAGTATCCCCTTATTTTGGTGTCGAGGACATGCAGGTCCTATTGCTTGAAAGTACAACGAACCTGCCGCCTGGAAGTAGTTCAAACTGAAACCTGTGTCAATGCTGAACAGAAAAAAGTGCTGTTTGATGTCGCTATTACAAAGCCAAAGCTATGCAACAACTAACAGGGAAATGGGTGTAAGGGACAGAACTACACATAATCAGCACCAATTCTATGTGTGGAAGGCAAAATGGACTGCAGTTCAGATGGTGCCAGATGAACTGTGAACAAGGACGTGAAAACGTGACAAGGAATCTCAGAAGTTAGTGGGCAGAGAGGCTGTAAAACCATGGAACTCGCTGCAGGCATATTCCCACACTCTGGATAGCAAATCTGCTCTTAAAAATATTAAATTTTTAGAAATAGTAGCTTCTATCCCATATTATGTAACTGAAAAGTAATGACCTGCTAATGATTTCTCAAGTTGGGAACTACTAACAAATGAAATTAGTAGGAACCCAGTCAAGCTGCACTGCTACAACGTGCGTATAACTAAACGTTAAGGGAGCAAAGATTGACCCCTACCAACCTCTCTCCACTCTCTCCCTATAAAAATGGGGAGTTTTCTTTTGAGCGATTTTGGAGTATCAACAGAAAAGTTTATATTGGACCATTTCATAATCCTTAACTAAGTAAAAGAAACATGGGACTACGGAAGAAGTAAAATTTCTATTTCTTTCCCATTACACAAAACTAACACCTAAGTTAAAACTTTATACGAAGAATCCTTCCTGAATGGATCAAGGGTTTTTTCGTGTGATGTGAATTTCGTATTATCACATGAAAATAAGCCTATTCAATTTTTATTTCATCTGCTCTGTGCCATTTTTAAGATTATTAGTGTCATTCTATTTTCCTTTAAACACCCAAGAGCAAAATTAACAAATGCAAAAAGAAAAAAAGCTCAATTTCCAAACTTTATTCCCACCTTTACCTCTTTTGTCTCTTCTGGGTCTGAATGATCCACAGTTATATAAAGATCATTTTGTAAATATTTCAGAGCACTAAGGGGATCCATTTGAGCCTTTTCTTCAAATCTAGAAAATGCAGAGAAGAATATTCTAGAGTTATGAATAAACATCAGAAATGTTTTTCAGACCTGGAGTGCAATACACTATACATGAAGGAATTATTCTGGATATCTAAGAAACCTGTGTTTGGGAATCCAGAAGCAAGAAGACTTACAAGTAGCTCGTACAGATGTACAGTCTCTGGAGATGTAACAGTAATGCCAGATGGCCAGGGGTGCCAGAGACTGGGTAAGAAAGAGCATTCTCTATTCTGGGACATAGGGGTCCACCCTTCTCTTAAAACCACAAGCTAGGATTGAAGCAACTATACAACATAGTGAATATGCTAAATATTTTACATAACAGAACTGCAAAAGAGCCATATGTGGCTATTACTGAGACTTTCATTAAAAAACGTAGAGATATAATAAAAATACTTGGTTAGATTTATACAGTACATTTTCCAATGCAGGTGTTTAACAGATTCTTTAGAAACTGAAATGAGGATAGTCTCATTAGGTCTTTTTAATGAGATTATTTCTCTCAGTCAGTAATAACAACTATAACAAACACAATTACAGCAAACACTTATCAGGGATCTGATATATGCTAAATAGCGTACTAAGCATTTTACATATATTACTTCATTTATCCTCATAATAACTCTATGACAATAGGTTTTATCACCATTTTTTTAAACAGTGAGAAACTAAGGTCCGGAGAGTTAACATGCCCAAGATAAGAGCTAGTAGGTGGTAGAACCAGAATCAAACCCAGATCTATCAGATTGCAAAATTGAAAAGGAAGCAAAGACTTCTTAAATTAAAAAAAAAAAAAAAAAAAATCTGTTTGGGCTTATTTATCTATTTAAATAAGATTAATGTTCTTTTGCTAGAACATAATTATATATGGATTTATTTTTAGTAAACTGGTATGCTTTTCAGGCTCCCTGGGTGGTGCAAACGATTAAGCATTCGACTACTAGCCAAAAGGCTGGTGGTCTGAACCCACCCAGAAGCGCTTCGGAAGACAGGCCTGGAGATCTGCTTCTGAAAGGTCACAGCTTTGAAAACCCTATGGAGCACAGTTCTACTCTGCACACATGGGGTTGTCATGAGTTGGAATCAACTTGAAGGCAAAAAACAACAACGTTTTTCAAAATATTATACAGAGAGAAAGAAAGGGAGAATGATTATTTGTTTGGCAAATAGAAGATTTCTTGTCTTTAGACCTAATCTCAGTGATAGGGTATGTCAGGTAAAGGCAAAGACTAACAAAATATTACTGCCCTCTTGTACCAGATAGTTCCCTAAGAGGGTAAGCTAGGCTTACAGCCCTCACACAAGTGAGAGTCCATTAAGCAGAGATCATGTTTCTACCGTCTTGCCCACAACTGATTAGACTAGGGTTTTAGCACCTGAGACAAAGACAATCATCTCCAGCTTGATCAGCAGCTTATAAAATGGCCTGGCAGAATTCTTCCCAAATGAAACACTCTCTCCAGGGAACTCTCTCTTAGAGGATTTGGATGTGAGACACACAGGTACATATAAAAAACAGACCACACACACAGAAGTGGTAAGCAGAAGCCATGAGATGGTAGATACCATGTGTGCATGTGTGTGTAGAAGCCATGAAGCGGTGGGAAAGCAGAGTCAGGAGTAGTCAGAAGAACAGGAGAAGCAGACAAAGAAGCAGAAGAGAGAGGGGCTCAGTTACAAGGAAAGCTACTACAACTGCTTCTAGGCTACTAGAATTGTTCCATTACCCTAAACAATTCTTTGTTAGACCTTACTGTTCAAATGCTGAGATAGCACCTTAATTCTCTGGATATTGTCATAATAAATTCTCTCAGCTGAGGTATTTTAAGCAAGTCTTTATCTTTTGCAATCCAAAATAACCAACACATGTTCTACTTCCAAATTATCAACAAGAGTTAGGGAACTTGAATGTTATAGGAGAAAATAATAGTGGGACTCTGTCCTATAGGGTTGCTACTCGACGGCAATGGGTTTTTTTTTTTTTTTCATCACACCACTGAGGAGGAGGAGATGCTCCGTGGCAGAGAATACACTCCTCTCCCTCCAAATTTATATTTTAACTAGATAAATACTTGTTTCTGCAAGAACAACAACAACAAAAATAAGCCAGCCCAGCAATATAGGGTAAGCTTCCATATAATGAAAAAATAGGTGTCTGGTATGAAATATGAATTCAAAGGACCCTTTTCATGTTTTTCCCAGTTCACAGAAACACATTTCTATCTATCCTCCCTGCAATGTAACAATGGCCCTCAAACTCATGTAAGAGTTTGGTACAGCAAAAGGTCTACATTTTTCCAAATGTCTGAAATGGGCCTCTTATTGTAGATTCAAGTTAGTAGTAGATAAGATTCTCTAAAATTAAAAATGGGTTCAATGGTATATCAGTTAATTAATATACAATTAACTGACAATCTAAAGAATTCCAGAAAATTTACAGAGGACCTGAAACAGAAGGAAATTCCTGGTTCTTATTTTCCACAAAAGAAAGTAGAGAAAAGGATAAGAACTAATCACAGGAAGCGGGACGCAGTGTAATTATCACCATGCCCACTAAGTCCAATGTTCCAAACATCTCCGTAAGAGCTTCTTATTTTCTGTTCTCTTTTTATTTGGATTTCATGGAAATGGTTTCTTCTATTAGTCCTGTGATAATAGGAGGAACAGATAGTGGCTTAGGAGAAAGAATTGGTGGCTCAAAGAAAATTTAGCAGAAAGATAAATGTTTGAAGGTAATTGGTATCTATTAAGAAACACAGAATTCAAATGCCATATATTATAGATATACTGTAGTTTACTTATATATAATGCTAAGCAGAGAAGCACAGCGACACAAACATATAAAAATAATAACCTAAATAATGGATTGAATTTCATTTGAAATACTTATTCATCTCTGTTTTCTAATAATTAGGCTTCTAGGCTGTAGTCTAATACTAGAGGAAATGGACAAGAGGTCTGGACTTCGGAAGTACAGGCAAACTGTTCCATGGCAATAAAACCAGGTTAGTAACTCTGAACTCCACACTTAAAAACGTAGTCAAGGAATTTAGGATTTTGGTTATAGTCATCTGGGGTTCTCAAGGACATGAAATGAAACAGTTTTAATTATATTAATTAAACTAATTACCATTACTGAAAATAGTCACAATGAAAAAGTCTGAAGAACTTTTTACATCACCTAGGTAGCTGTAAACTACCTAAAGGTTTAGGTCCTATAATAATGACCTACATATACTATATGGTCAATTTGGGATCTGACTGACAGCAATTTAAATCCATATAAAAACCCATTGCTTTCTAATTGATTCTGACTCATAGCAACCCTACAGGACAGAGCAGAATCACCCCATAGGGTTTCCAAGGAGCAGCTAGTGGATTCAAACTGCTGACCTTTTGGTTAGCAGCTGAGCTCTTAACCACTGCACCACCAGGGCTCTGAGATCGGTATAGTGACTAATAATTTACAAAGTGATTTCACATACATTATCTCATAATGAAGGCTTCCAAATTTCTCTCTCTCCTAAACTCAACTACTCAAACCACCAACCCTTCAGTTAGCAGCCAAGTGCTTAACCATTTGCATCACTCAGGGATGCCATCCAACAGCCTACTGGATAACTCAAACTCAACATGTTCAAAACTCAACTCCTGATCTTCCCAAAACCTGCTATAGATACAGCATTCCCCAACTTAACGGACGGCAATGTCATCCTTCCAACTGCTCCCACGAAAAGCCTAGGAGTCGTTCTTGACTGCTGTCTTTGTCTCACACCCATATCCCATCAATCCATCAAGGAATTCTGTTGGCACAATCTTCAAAGTTTATTCAAGATCTTACTGTGCTTTCTCAATTTCTTTTGTGGAAGGTCTCCTCCTCTGCCTTTACCTCAAATGGTGATGGTCCTCAGGTAATCCCCAACACCCCTTTGTTCTTCTCATGCTCCCTGAACAAGCTCCCTCTTCCTGCTGGTGAGTCACTAATCTAGATGTCAGTCCGAGCCTCTCCTTTAAATGCTTACTAATGAGCCCCACTTGTTTGTCTCACAGACGCCTCAAACCTAAACTGCCCCAAACTGAACTCATCTTTACCAACAAATAAACAACAGAAACCTTTTGTTTTTGAAGAATTTCCCATTTGAGTGAAAGCAGCCATGACTTTTTACCCAGTTCCTGTGGCCAAAAATCTGGAAGGATTTTTATAAAACCTAAGTCTGAACATGCCACTCCTCTACTTAAAATCTTTCCCTGGTTCCCCTGTCAGTCAGAGTAAAAACCTTTCACAATCTGTCCCCTTTCTTATCAATCTGACCTTATCTCCTACCACAGTCACCTCACTCATTCTATTTCAACCACACTGGCCTCCTCAATTCATTCCTCACACAATCCAGGCATATTTTAAACCTCAGAACCTTGCCTATTACTTCTCTGAACTACCCTCCTCCCTGCCCCAAGTATCTATATGGTCCACTTCCTCATATCCCTTAGGTCTCTGCTCAAATGTCACCTGCAGAGCGAGGTCTACTCTAATATATATACATTATTTAATATTTTATTATGTTTTTGGTGACAGTTTACACAGTAAATTAGGTTCTCATTTAACAATTTCTATACATATTGTTCAAAGACATAGGTTACATTCTCCACAATATATCGGTATTTTGATTATTTCCATTTTGGTTGTTCTGTTTCCATGAATCTAGCTTCCTTGTCTCCCGTTATCTTCTCATCTTTGATACAGGGTAAATGTTTGCCATTTGGTTTCACCTAGACTATTATTTTGAGAAGCACAGTACTCACGGGTGATATTATTTATTTTATGGGCCAATCTGTCATTTGGCTGAAAGGCAACCTCTGGGAGTGGTCTGAGTTCCAAGTTTAAATAGCTTATCTCAGGGCGATAGTCTTAGGGGGGTTCATCTAGTCTCTACTGGTCCAGTAAGTCTGGCCTTTTTACCCTGATATTCTTATTTAAAATTGTACCCTCAACTCCCTCACCTGCACCATCATTCTTAACCTGTTCTAGTGGTTTTCCATAGTATTTATCATCTAACATACAATATAAATTCCTTTTTATTATGTTTATTGTTAGTCTCCCTTCATAAGAACGGAAGATTGAAGGCAGGGTATTAGTGTTTGTTTTCTTCATTGATATATCCCCAGAGCCTAGAACAGTGTCTTGCATGTTGTGGATACTCAATAAATAATTCTTAAGTAAAAGAATAGTTTCATTGATGCTTATCAAGACCCTTATTCGGTTGCTTTTGCCATTTTACAAACGAGCAAAGTGATCTCCAAAGAGATTAAGTTAGGAGAGCTGAATACTAATCCAAGGTCCAGGTCTAATACTTTTTCCATTAGCTCTTAGAACTAAGGGCAAAAAGCAATCACAATCAGAAAAAAGAGTACTATGTTCCATATTTTATGCCATTATTGCTCTAATTGAAAACAATCCATGTAAATGGATAATGTCTTTATAAATTCTTAAATTCACCCTTCAAGGGCTTGTCTAGCTTAAATTCTGAGGTGGGCTAGCATACTTCTTTTCCCATAGTAGCAAATTCCAAAGGCTGCATTATTTGCCAAATCACACAAACTTGGTGCCTTTCAGTTTTAGTCATTTTATTTCATGATCCGTTTTCACAGTCATAAGATTTGCTAGTCTTTTATCACATATTCAAAAGTTTGAATGATCCCTTATAGGTTATTCTTTTATACTTTATCACTTTCACCCCTCCCATTATACCTTTATTAGTGTAAGTCACTAACAATGATGTTTGTACTTGAATATGCAATAATACATAATATTTCTGACTCCCATAAATTGTCATTTCACCTGCCAACTGATATATTCTTAAAAGAGGAAAACAACCACCAAAGATTAAAAAGAATACCTCTCAGGTTGGCTTGGCAATGGGAAAATGAATAATCCTACATACTTCTGGAAGAAATGGAAATTAACCATTTTCTGGAGGGCAATTTGATAATTCAACAATCCCATCACTATCATACAGAATTTTGGGGCAGTACAATTCACTATAGTACTATTTATAATAGCAAATAAGCTGGAAATAATCTAAATATTCTACAAAAGGAGACTAGTTTAGTGAATTACAGCTAGACTGGAACACTATCCAGCCATTATAATTTGTACTTATAATTATTAATATGGTAATGTTTGTGATACATCATTTACTGGACAATTACAAAGCAATATGATCCCTATTTTTAAGTGAAACAACAAACGTCTATGTGTGCATATCTGTACAGTAAAAAGTTTAAAGGATACATACCAAAATACTGGTACTTACTATCTCTGAATGGTAGGATGACTGATGAGTGATTCCGCTTGGGGGGGTGGGGGGAGTGGACTTGTTTTTTCTTTATTAAGCACGTATTATTTTTTCAATTAAAAGCCAGAGAAAAGTATGTATAAATGAATTTGATTGCTTTACATGTAACACTAAATGGAACCAACAACCTCCTTCAATCACTAATGGGCCTATAGTCAGGAAATTTTTTTAAAAAGCTCAACATTCCAATCACTAGTTGTGATGTATTCAGTAGAAAAAGACACTATATTTTCCCCAAATTTGTCTTATCTTTTCAAAAGAAAAGTTTAATAATAAATAAAGTACTTAGGAATAAAAATTTAGCGGTGTGAAAGCATTAGCTGAAGGTATCCCAAGCTTAAATCTTGTTAGAACAGTCTTTCCCTTGATGAATAGCCAATGTGCAGATTTAGACCTTTTTTCCTGTAGATTTTATAGCAAATATACTAATTATTCACAATAATACCCCAAACTAGCTTATATACAGATCAAGCACAACTTGTGAAAGCACAGAAAGGAACAATAACTAAACACGATATGATAAAAGAACATTCATCTATATCTATAGAGAGATTTTTATGTATGTTATATGCGTAAAAATAATATATGGTTATGTTACATATAATACACAACTAAATAATATTTTATTTATATGTGTGTGTGTATACCCATATAATGGTTAGATGGTGCGATGTGAAGGCAGAACACCCAGGATCAAATCATGGCTCTGTCACTTATGGTTGGGTGACCTCAGGTGAGTTACATAACCTACTAAAGCCTTCATTTCTTGATTTATAAAATAGTGATAATAACAGTGCCTACTCCACTGGCTTTTCTGTGAGGATAACGTGCAGGGCCCAGCACACAATAATTACTCAGTAAATGTAGCTATTACCATCATTAAAGGCTAATATCCTTCCAAATTATAAATTATTATTACCATCAAACACTCCCAGGAACCAACAGAACAGATACACTTCTACATTTTTCAGTAGTTTATCACCTACGAAGGCTACAAAGCAAATGTGATGCAGGAGAGACACAGGAAAATGTTTGATTCTATGATTTTGCAATTACATGGCAAAGGTAATGATGTGAAACTACAACCATATTTTGAAGTTGTATTTTAAAACATCAAATGAAAAAGATAACACATAGTCAACTATATATCACCTTGTTGCTGTTAAGACAGTTATCGACAGATCAGGCATATGTCAATAATCTACAACTGGTCTAACTTGTAGTGGTAAGGCTTTTAGTTACTCCAAGGTAGGTACACTACTTTCACAGAAACCTTTTCCATTATTTTAACAGCTGCAAAATTTCCTATGTCAGATCACTTGTTCTGTATGTAGAAATTTAGCATCACTATGTATCTTTGGAGCCCTGGTGGCACAGTGGTTAAGAGCTCAACTGCTAATCGAAAGGTCAGCGGTTCTAGTCTACCAGCCGCAACTTGGAAACCCTGTGGGGTAGTTCTATTCTGTCCTATAAGGTCACTATGTTGGAATCGACTCGATGGCAATGGGTTTGATTTAGTTTTGGTATGTATCTTTATTTTGTATCTTCCTTTCAAAGAGGAAAGCAAAAATAAATAGAATAGTAGGGTATCTACAAAATTTATGATATTCACAATATTTACACTGTCATGGTATCAAATTTCCAAAGAGAAAGTCACATCTCCAATGCTTAGGTAATACCAGCAATAGCTGATAATGTAATTAAAACAATTTTCAGTGAATTATTTTCATACCTGTGTTTCCTTATGAGGTATTTGCAATGCCTCAGTAAGTAATCTTTTGATGGCCTACACAGCTTCAGTGACCAGAAGTCATCTAATCTCATCTTTGGAGAACAGGATTTTCCTGGATTCCCACCAAATAAATAATGAACCTATAATAGATAAAACAAACCAGATTTTAAAAAATGTATGCACGCTCAAGAAACTACAGAAGGCATAGTTAAATTTCTTCATTTTCGTAGTATTGACTAAAAGGTAACTTCCTTAGCCTTATTTATATACAAAATAAAAATATTACTGCATTTTTACCAAAGATGTCTCTTGATTTATCTCAAGTTTCCATTTACCTTAAATCACTGAGGCTACTTTCTTAATTATATTTTATACTCAAGTGAGTTGTATCACCACAATTACAATGATAATGGAAGATGTGAAGCAAAAGCAATGGTAGTGAGAAGCTAACCAGAGACAGAGTTTGCTGAGGACACACATAATGAAGATTACCAAATTAAATAAGTGTTGACCATAAAAACAAATGTTATTTAAAAAAAAAAACTCTGATATACATGTTGAATCACCAAAGGTCATTAGTAAACTAGAAACTTTTGTTTAATTTAAACATCTTAATTTTGCTTTAGCTATAATGCCAAATATTAAATGGCACATATAATTTGTGAAACAACTTTTAAAATATTATTCAATTAATACTAAAAAAAGAAATGTAAAAGGAATGTGATAATGATCTCACTGTTATATTCTAACTGAAGGCCTATATAAATCATTACTGTTTTAATGATATTCTGTACTTAGACAAACCATTAAACCAGTTCCTGAAATTCGAAAAGATTTATTATATTCAGTGGTGTTATACAATAGAGATATTACTTCTATCCTATACATGGAAGTTCACTTACCCTTTAACCTGGGAGACACTAAGAGAAATAGCTTTTATTCACTTCCATGGTATCTTTTATCTAGAGGTCTCAAGCCTTATAGCATAAAATTTAAATAATTATCTATGGCCTAAACAGAAAGAATACAGGCTCTGTCAATAGCTTACTATATAATTTGAGCCCAAATTACTAAACCACATGTAAAATTTAAGGGAGTAATAATTAAAGAAACCACTTTGAAGATTTTGTTGTTGTTGTTGTTAGGTGCCATACTCAGCAACCCTATGCACCACAGAATGAAATACTGCCCATTCCTGTGCCATTCTCACAATCGTTGTTACGCTTGAGCCCATTGTTGCAGCCACTGTGTCAATCCATGTCGGTGAAGGTCTTCCTCTTTTTCGCTGACCCTGTACTTTACCAAGCATGATGTCCTTCTCCAGGGACTGATCCCTTCTGACAACATGTCCGAAGTACGTAAGACATGGTCTCGCCATCCTTCCTTCTAAGGAGCATTCTGGTTGTGCTTCTTCCAAGACAGATTTGTTCATTCTTCTGGCAGTCCATGGTATATTCAATATTCTTCACCAATACCACAATTCAAAGGCATCAATTCTTCTTTGGTCTCCCTTATTCACTGTCCAGCTTTTGCATGCATATAACCGGATTGAAAATAGCATGGCTTGGATCAGGTGTACCTTAGTCTTCAAGGTGACATCTTTGCTTTTTAACACTTTAAAGAGGTCTTTTGCAGCAGATTTGCCCAATGCAATGTATCTTTTTATCTCCTGACTGCTGCTTCCATGGGTGTTGACTGCGGATCCAAGCAGAATGAAATCCTTGACAACTTTGACATTTAGTAACTGTAAAACTTCAGAACCAGGACTGTTTTCATTAGGCTAATGGAAAAGATCAGGAGTCCTGGTGGTGCAATGGTTAAGTGCTCAGCTGCTAACTGACTGGTCAGCAGTTTGAACCCACCAGCAGCTCCACGGGAGAAAAGACCTAATGATCTGCTCCTATAAAGACTACAGCTTAGGGAACCCTATGGGGCAGTTTTCTACTCTGTCATATAGGGTCGCTACAAGCTGGAATCCACTCGACGGCACATAACAACAACAATGGAAAAGATATGTCACTTATACTTAGGAAAAATAAAGATAAAGGGACTTCTTACAGAAATAGTAACATCTAAACAGGAAGTTATATACTGCTCCTTTTTGTGCCATAGGACAAGCTACCCAAATGCTAAAAACCATACATCTTTTACTCAGATATTCACATTGTAGAAACAGGCCAACCTATGTATCTAAGTATGCAGCTAAGAAACAGCAAGTGACTTTCAGAAAAGGAAAAGTGGTATTGAATATCTGTTACATATTCTATTGAATGTCTGTTATGTATCATAACTTTTTATTCAATTCCACTTAAAAACAATTAGCAACAGTTATATTTTGGGACTGTTTCAGACTGTAGGGTGCAGATAGTTTGCAGGTAAATATATTTAGGATACCTTGTGTAACTCATCATATACAAGCTGGTGGGCAAATCTTGGACATGGCTCTTCCTCCTGAAGACTTTTACTTGGATTTTCCTTTGCAGCTTGATCATTCTTATACACACAAGACCTGCAAGACATTCCTTTTAAGGCATTTTACTCTAGAAAATTGTCAACATAATGTAAATATAAGTGTAGTAAACAAATGAACTGCATGTCTAATTACCAACAGAAAAAAAAATGATAAATTTGTTCACACGAAATCTTAAAGTTCCAATCACATAAAATAATCTGAATTTGTTAGAAGTGAGTTCTGAAGTTCATTTAATCAATCAACCCTCAAAACGCTCACTTAATACAGAGACCAAAGTTTATTAGTGGTTACCAAGAGTGGACGAAAAGAAAGGGGAAAGAGGTACTCAATACATAGGGGACGCTGAGCTTCTGTTAAGAGTGACAGAAAAATTTGGAAATGGATAGTGGTGATGAACATAATTAATGTCACTGAAATGCACATGTAAAAAAATTGTTTTTCAAAAAAAATCTCAACTTAAGAACAATCTATCTCATATTGTGGAACACAGAAAACATAAATAAAGGCTCAAACTAAAGGTTAAAAGAGATGATATGTGGTTTATCTATCCATAATAAAAAGACTTACAGTAGACTGTTTTCATTTCAACAGTAAATAAATGTCCTATTTAGACAATAATGAATTCTTTTGTTGCTGAGCACCACCCTCCATTACCTAATGGAGGAGGTTCTCTGAAGTGCCTGTGTTCTATAGCACATTCACTCATGGAGCAATCATAGAATGTGAGAGCTGGATCCTCTAGGCCATTGTTGCCCAAAGCAAACTGTGCAGCACCAGTACATGAGACGCCCTGTGACAAAAGGTCCTGGGTTTGGAAATGCTAAACAATAATACCCTGCCTTTGGAGATTCACAATAAATATCAGCATATCAAAAGCTCTGAGAAGTTCTACAGTAAAGAAACCTGTTTACCCTAACGTGTCCCTAGTTTATTTGACCACAGGAACACTTTTTCAAGTAACGTCTATTGCTATCCTCTAGGAATGGGTTTCATTGGAACACACTTTAGGAAGCACTGCTCTAGTCAAACATTTTCATTTGATAAAAACCAAGATCGGAGGATGTTTTAAAAAAAAAAATTACGCTCAAGTTCACACATCTTTGGTAGCAGGACCTAGACTGTAACATAATTCTCTTGGCTCCAGGCCAGGAACAATCTACTAACTGAATAGCTCAGGGGTAAAATCAATTCACTGAATGTCATCATATTCTATAGAAGGCATTGATATTGACTGTCTTTCCCCCAAACATTGATTTTTAAATGTACAACATCACATGTTAACATAAGCTTTTCATCTCTCCCTTCTTTGAATAAATAAACAACCTCAAATAAATGCTACATTGGGATTCCAGCACAGACAAGAGTTTCTTACCAACTATTCCTCACAATGTCATAAATCCAGAATGAATTTCTGACATTTTCTTCCCTCTTTTCCTTGTCTTTGCTGAGTCCAGACAACACGTGTATTTCATTCAGTTCTGGATCAATGGTTGCTCTCTGTGTGAATCCTGTCATTGGAACTATAAATTGAAAGAGAAAATAAGATGACAATATTCACGTCAGATAATAGATTAATACTTACTCTTTAAAGGAGCCCTGGTGGCCCAGGGGTTAAAGAGCTCGGCTGCTAACCAAAAGGTCAGCAGTTTGAATTCATCAGCCGCTCCTTGGAAATCCTATGGGGCAGTTCTACTCTGTCCTATAGGATCGCTATGAGTCAGAAATGACTCAACAGCAATGAGTTTACTCTTTAAAAGACAAATACATCCTTATCCGGTTCTACTTTTATCCACAGTACTTATCTTCTAACATATTACATAACTTTTTATTTTTTATTGAACAATAAACAATTGTTCATTGCCTTCTCTCTGCTCTAGAACGTAAGCTCCATGGCAGACGTTGTTTTGCTCATGATTTTATTCCCAGTGCCTAGAACAATACCTGGCACATAAGTTACTCAACTATTTACTGAAAGAATAAATATGTTGTGAAGTTTTGTTGTTCTTGTGTGCTGTCGAGTTGATTCTGACTCATAGCGACCCTATAGGACAGAGCAGACCTGCCCCATAGGTTTCCTAGGCTGTAATCTTTACGGGAGCAGATCGCCAGGTATTTTCTCCCACGGAGCAGCTGGTGTGTTCAAACCAGCAACCTTTTGGTTAGCAGCCAAAGCGCTTATTAAACGTCGTGCCACCAGGGCTCCTCTGTTGTGAAATAGGTGAGTCCATAAGATTTGCTTTCTAAATATAAATTATATTTCAACTAACATTTCAAAATAAGAAAAAGAATAATCTGCATTTTCTAATGTCAGTGTTCCACAAATTACTGGATAATGCAGAATGGACATGACTTGTTGAATAGATTTCTGAGAAAAATAAAGGATCATTAACTCTGGGGAGTTGGACCTACTTAGGAAAACAAAATGGCATACTATACCCCTCAATTTTTTTTTTCTTGGAAATTATGTAATTCTCATTGTATGCCATGAACAGATATTTTAAATGACTCTGATCTTTTTAAACTAACCTATGTTTCAAATCTATTACTGATGTTTTTAACAGCTTTACTGAAGAATAATTCACACTGTAAAATTCACCCATTTAAGCTGTACAGTTCAGTGGTTTTTAGTATATTCACACAGTTGTGAAACCATTAGCACAACCTAATTTTAGAACATTTTCATCATCCCAAAGAGAAATCTCACATCCATTAGCAGTCACTCTCCATCCCTCCTCCCTACCCACACTCTCAGGTAACTACTCTGCCCTATGTCTCTATAGATTAGCCTATTCTGGACATTTCATAAAGATGGACTCGTACAATATGTGGTCTTTTGTTACTGGCTTCTTTCATTTAGCATAATGTTTTCAAGGTTCATCCATGCATGTATTAGTACTTTATTCCTTTTTATTGTTAAGCAATATTCAATTGTAGGGATGTACCATAATTTTTTTAATCCAGTCATCAGCTGATAGGCATATGCGTTGTTTCTACTTTTTGGCTAGTATGAATATTACTACTATGAACATTTGTGTACAAGTTTTTGTGTGGAAATATGTTTTCACTTCTCTTGGGTACATGCCTATGAGGCAACTGCTGGGTCATAAATTAACTCTACAGTTAGCATTCTGAGGAACTGCCAAATTGTCTTCCAAAGTGCTGTACCATTTTACATGCTCACCTTCAATGTGTGAGGGTTCGAATTTCTCCACATCCATGTCAACAATTGTTACTGTCTTTTTTATTATAGCCATCTTATAACAAGTGGTATCTCAAAGTGGTTTTTACTTGCATTTCCCTAATGAATAATGATTTTGAGCATCTTTTCATGTGCCTATTAGCCATTTGTATATCTTCTTTGGAGAAATGTCTATTCAAGTCCTTTGCTCATTTTTTGACTGGGTTGTTTGTATCTTTGTTATTGAGTTGTAGGAGTTCTTTATATAGTCTAGCTATTAAACCTGTATCAGATACATGGTTATCAAATATTTTCGCCTGTTTTGTAGGCTGTCTCATTTTTTTTGGTCTCATTTTCTTGACAAAGTTCCTGAAGCACAAAAGTTGTTAATTTTGATGAAGCCTAATTTATTATTTTCTTCTGTTGCTCATGTTTTTGGGGTCATATATAAGAATCCACTGTCAAAACAAGGTCTTGAAGCTTTATTCCTATGTTTTCTTAAGAGTTTTATGGCTTTAGTTCTTGTATTTAGGTCATTGATCCATTTTGAGATAATTTTCATATATGGTGTGAGGTAGTGTTCCAATTTCATTCTTTTGCATGTAGAGATCCAGCTGTCCCAGCACCGTTTGTTGAAGAGACTATTCTTTCCCCATTGAATGCACTTGGCACCCTTGCCAAAAATCAACTGACCAAAGGTGTATGGGTTTATTTTTGGATTCTCAATTCTACTCCATTGGTCTGTATGTCTATCCTTACATCAGTGTTTTGATTTACTATAGTTCTGTAGTATGTTTTTGAAAAGGGGAAGTGTGAGTTCTCCTACACTGTTCTACTTTTTCAAGATTGTTTTGGTTATCTGGAGCCTACTGTAACATTTTTAATTTTACTGTTTTCCTCCACTCAGTATTGCTGCTGAGTTGTCTAAGATCTTCTTGTTTCTTTCCAGGTGATCTGCTCTTTCTCACTGACATATTTTCAAATATTTTCCATGTCTTTGATATTCTTAATTTTATTGTAATATGCCTAGGAATGAGTTTTTCCTTACTTTTCCTGTTTGGTTCTTTATGAGTCCTTTCATTCAATCTATGGTCTGTCTTCTTTTTTTAATTCTTTGAAACTTATCTTCATTATTTCTTCAATTATTTGACTTTCTTAAATTTTTCTTTCCTTCCAGAACTTTGGTTAAAAGACTCTGGCATTTACACAACTATCCTCCATGTCCCTTAGCTTTTCTTTCATATTTTTTATCTCTTTACATCCTCATCACCCCATTTCTTCTTGGAAGAGTGTTTCATTCTAATCTTTCAAATAATTAATTATTCACATCCATCCATTTATATCACCTACTGTAGTCTTCATTTATTTTTTTCATGTCCAGTATTTCCATTTAGCTCTTTATGATTTCTAGATCTTGTTTCATATTACTAATGTTCTTAAGGATACTGATCATGCTTATTTTAAATTCTTGGGTCATCCATTTTGATAATTTTGCTTTAGATCATATATGTTGTTAAGTTCATTGATTTCTTTTGAAATAGTTGTAGTCCTCAACTGTCTAGTTATATTGGTCTGTGAAGTCATGTTTTTCAGGGTATTAGCTATTCTTTCTGGTAATACATACTGGGGAGGACCCAAAGACCAGGCCGTTAACTGGCATCAGTACCAGTGAGTTTAAGGAAAATAGAGAGGAAGAGACATAGCGTAGTGATGCCTAAGTATCAAGAACCAGTTATCACTTCCATTAATCATCACTCCCTTCTGCAAGGGTTAACCAAAACCTGTTGCTGTTGAGTTGATTCCGACTCATAGTGACCCTACAGGACAGAGCAGAACTAACTGCCCAAAAGAGTTCCCAAGAAGCAGCTGGTGGATTCGAACTGCCAACCTTTTGGTTAGCAGCTGAGTTCTTAACCACTGCGCCACCAGGGCCCCTGAAGGGTCACACACCTTTAAATCTTTTTGGGGAAATAGAAGGCAGTCTCCCTGAGCATGAAGTGGCTGTGTGCGTGTGCGTGTGCGTGTGTGTGTAGAAATGATTTACTGAGAATAGATGGTCAGTCCACATCTGTTTTCAGCAACTCTGAACTCCAGTAGGGTTTCTGCACTGCCATACTGTGGCCCCTGGATTCTGGCACTAGTGGTACATCATACTCTGTTGGTTTCTATAGTAAAGGGCCAAGAATTAACTCAAGGTAATTTGGGGGGAGACAAAAGATCTTAAAAGCTTTCTTTTACTCTAACCTGTCACTAACATCTCAAGAGACACTTTGCCTCAGATTATAGCCACCAACTTGTTACAGATAAACATGTTCAAGATAGTCTTCAGCCTCATTTAAAGAATTTGTGGAATCCAGTTGCCTCTCATTTTTATTTCTCCAGGGATGACTTTGTGGAAAGGAGTTGGCAGTCTGTGTTAGTTTGCTACTTTGGTATAAGTACTTTTCATTTTATAACCTTCAATATTGTTTATATTGTGGTTTATTAACTATGTACATGGCATTAATTCTATAATAATAATAATAAATAAAAAACTGGCTCAATAAAAATGGCATTATCAAAAAACAAAAAGACCTAAAGGTCAAAACCAAAAAAGAAGTTTTCAATCTAACATGCCGTAACTGTTAATACAGTCTTTTGTACTAATTTTCTCCCCAGGAAGAAAACAAGGCTATCTTTTTAAATTAATAGTTTCTAGTTTCTGATGGGTGATGGGGGATGGGGGGTGTCAGATAGATTTGCAACATAAAAGATTTAAAAAGCTTTTAGATTCAATTGCTAAAAAGCTTACTGAATGCCAGGAATCTTAACCAGTCTTTATAAACTGACTCACAAAGAAAAATTAACCAAACAGATCCATAAACAAGATCATATGTTGATAATGAACACACTGTGAAAGGACACTTGTCTGAGGAAATAGAGAATAAGAATTATACAACAAACAACTATTACTGTCAAACTGTTATTTTTGCATGGCTTTTCCAGGAAATTATAATGATAAACCTTCAACTCTATTTCTTCTTTAGCATCTTTAAAGCATCAAATAGGACAGCTAATGAGGAAGTCAAATAAAATATTTTATCTGACAGTCTGAATCACATTTTTCTCTTTTCTCCTTGGTTTATCCAATAGCCAAAATGGGGGAGACTACCAGAACTTTTAACACAAGGACACCCTAGAGGGGACAAAAAGATAACAAATATTTCTGAAGTCCTTTCAATTCTCTACGAAGATACATTATTGAACTAATTCATGAACTAATCTCAACTCTATTTTTCTTCATGTTATTCATTATTAATTACTTCAGGTATGGAACAAGGGGAAAAATCAGGAATTTAATCA